TGTTGGTGAGTGTGGGTGTGGGTGTGGGTGTGGGTGGGTATAGGTGTGGGTGAGTATGGCTGGGGCTGTGGGTGGGTGTAGCTGTGAGTGTGGCTGGGGCTGTGGGTGGGTGTGCCTGTGGCTGTGATTGTGACTGTGGGTGGATGTGGCTGTACCGCTCACGCTCATGAGCGCTCATATGAGCGTGAGCGTTTTTTCGCTGACGCTCATGCTCATGTGAGGGGTGGTCGCTCACGTTCATATGAGCGCACATGAGCGTGAGCGGTACAACCCTACTCATATGAGCGTGAGCGACCATCCCTCTCGTGAGCATGAGCGTGAGCGAAAAAGCGCTCACGCTCATATCAGCACTCATGAGCGTGAGTAGTACAGTCCTACGCTCATGCTCAGGTGAGGGGTGGCCGCTCACGCTCATATGACTAGGGCTGTACCGCTCACGCTCATGTGCGCTCATATGAGCGTGAGCGACCGCCCCTCACGTGAGCATGAGCGTCAGCGAAAAATCGCTCACGCTCATATGAGCGCTCATGAGCGTGAGCGGTACAGCCCTAGTGGCTGTAGCTGTGGCTGTGCTTGTCGCTGTGCTTGTGCCTGTGGCTGTGGCTGTGGCTGTGGGTGGGTGTGGCTGTGAGTGTGGCTGGGCTGTGGGCGGGTGTGCCTGTGGCTGTGATTGTGACTGTGGGTGGATGTGGCTGTAGCTGTGGCTGTGGTTGTCGCTGTGCTTGTGCCTGTGTCTCTGGTTGTGGCTGTGGCTGTGGGTGAGTGTGGCTGTGGTTTGGCTGTAATTGTGATTGTAGGTGGGTGTGGCTGTGGCTGTGGGTGAGTGTGACTGTGGGTGGGTGGGGCTGTCGCTGTGGGTGTGGGTGGGTGTGGCTATGGCTGTGGTTGTGGCTGTGAGTAGGTGTGACTGTGCATATGAACAAACAGAAGGCTCAGAACCCCATCCCACACCCACACGTACATCTGCACCCGACACGCACACCCACACCCAAACATATATCTGGGTGTGGGTGTGGGTGTCGGTGGGTGTGAATGTCGGTTTGGGTGTGGGTGTCGGCGTGGGTGTGGGTGGTTCTGGGTGTAGATGTAGGTAGGTGGGGTGGGTGTGGGTGTGGGAGTGGGTGGGTGGGTGTGGAAGTGGGTGGGTGGGTGTGGGTGTGGGAGTGGGTGGGTGTGGGTGAGTGTGGATGTGGGTGGGGTGTGGGGTGGGTGTGGGTGTGGTGGTGGGGTGTGGGTGTGGTTCTCTGAAAAAGTCACCCACACCACGACTAACACCCTTACCCACACCCAGATCCACCCACACATCTCACACCCCATCCATATCCACACCCACATCCATACGCACACCCAGACCCACATCCACACCCACCCACAACCACACCTACACCCGCTTGTAACTTAGTTAAAGCTTCTTTCCACGGTCCGTAACAACAATCACTGCATAAGCCTTTTGAACAGTCTGATTTTGTACACATAAACTCAGCTCGAATTATCGGATTGTTAGGATACGTTCTTGCTGAACCGGTGCAAAAGCGAATTGTTTCCGATGGGTCACCTTTAATGTTCGCTAATACTAATGATTGTAGTTGTGTATAACTACATACACACTCGGAACCCTGCATCGATAGATCACAGGTTAAAGCTGCAAGAAACTAAACTGACTTCCACACTTTCACTCGCAACGGCGCAATATATCAACGATACGTTAGTTGTTTTCTATGTGAACGAACAAAAAATAGCATAAGCGTAGAATGTGCGCTATAGAACTCGGAGATTTTTTCATAGAACAAAAAATATTCTGGGAATATTTCAGTCCTTATTTTGAGTGTGGGTTTGTTGTTTTAGATAACAGATAGCACATGTCTGGCAAATTTTAACATATGTCTCTCATTCTTGTCTAAGTCCCATCTCACTCATCAATGTTAAATGAATAAACGCTGACGGTGTGTGTCTGGATGTGTTGGGTGTAGGTGGCTGCTGATGTGGATGTGAGCATAGGTTAATGTCGATGTTGTTGTGCGCTACATTGACGCCCACGCTCACACCTTAATTACTTTTGGTAGTCTTGTCGGGTCAGTTTTATCCAATCCATACATTTTTTTCTACCATATCTTGAGCAAAGATAAATTTCATTTTAGTAAATTTATTTGGTTTTGTATTGATTGTATTTACCAGATGATTTTAGTGATCAATGTTGTTCACCTTCGTATATCACTGAACGTCCAGATTGGGAACATGTCATCTCCATTTTTCAATCAAAGTTTTGCATACAAATAATCATTGTTTCATTCTTATAGTCACTGGTGTTTGTGGTCCTCATGTTAATACAATTGATAATGGTCGATATATATGTCACATCCAAGGTCTTTTGTTGTTTTTGTTCAAACGAATGCTCAAGCTACAATAAATGTACAAAATCATCCGAATAGCAATGCATCGAATATTGATCTTATATATCCTGATGCTTTATTTCAAAGTCATGTCCATTCTCTATTTCTGCCACCAGCATTGTCTTATATGGAACGAACACATGGTTACGGTTCAATTTTTTCAAATAACACTATAATTGCTGTCAATTTTACTTTTGTTATCAGTAATAATGGCAAATTTGGTAATGAACATTAAAAAAATCAATAACAAACAAAAATAATTATTCATTTGTTTAAGGTTTTTCTGTTAACAATAATGCAATACTTACAAATCATTTGTCAAATAACTTGAATTATAATTATATAAATACAATGAATTATACCGAATGATATATTTATCTAGTAGAACAAACAACTAGATCGATATTAAATGGACCAACAATACCTCAGCTGACCATTTCTGTATGATCTGGCAGGTGGTTTTAACTTTATCTTCGTTTTATATAAAGATAATTGAAATATTGTGTTTACTTTTTCTTAGATCTTTCTTTGCAATTTAATTTTTGAATGAAAATCCCAATGATGGTCTATTGAACTGAGAAACAAATCAAAGAATTCAAATAACAAACTTATTAAATGTAACAGCATCGAAACACAATACAGACATCGTTGATGCTTGTCTTTCATGTAAATTTTCATCAGAAAAAAACAACAAATCTTTTAATAGAAATCTTTTCCTTTAGAAAAAGTACCGAGTAACCTAACGTTAGACAACAGCATACTTTTATTATGCCAAAAATTTTACTAGAATGGTACTACAAGAATGCATCAAACATGTCATGACTATTTTGAGTGTATTCATGATTTTCTCATTCGAATAAATTCTTTTACTAGTGAAGCAACAGCTTTAGGGTTAGAATTAATTGAAGAATCGAGAATCGTATTAGGTAAAGTTTTCATTAGAAAATCATTGTTATGTGTTTTTTTTTCTGTCAATTTTAAATAGCTGAAATACTTCCGACTGTTAAATTGACTTTACCTGTTAAAATCATCTTACCAATTAATAATACAAATCGTGCTTATTCACATGGCATTAATATTATGCCTGGTGATGGAACACCTATAAAGTGCTCATCTCACAAATTATTCATTTAATATAATACAAAATATCAATATTAATGATTTGTCATCTATCACAGTGGCAATATCCAGCAATGCATATAGCTCTGTTAAAGTTTTACAAGTATTTTCAACTGTCTAGAGGATTATTTCGAGTTTTTTCCTATACCTACATGGTGCAACATTATTTACCTATATATATTGCCGTCGCATTCGCTCATGACTAATTGGATAAATGTTTTTCGTTTCGAACTTAATCTTACTTTGATAAAATCATACAAAAGAAATATTTACACAATCATTTTTTTTTGCTCTTGTGATATGTTTTTTTAAATATTACACTAAATTTCATTGGAGTAAATTTTTCATTCATCATCAGATTTTTAAAGAATCATACGGTAGAAAGATTTAAAGTATCATCGGTTTGTTTCTATGAAGAACTTAATATTCATTTTTTTTAAATAATGATCATATTTATTCAGCATACGGGCATAAATCAAAAGAAGTAACGTGTGTCGAAGACGACAATCCAATATGGATCAAATTCTACATTTCAAACATATTTGAATATTCCTGCGTGTTTATGTACCAATGGCGGTACGTGTAATTTTGAGGAAACAACTACGATATCTGACCCTTATCAACTTGTTTTATGTGACTATTCAGCACAAAATGTTGGTATGCTAAATGAATACACGTTAAATTTCTTCTTTACAAAAAAATAAATTTTTCTTCATAAGGTATGTGACGGTAAGAGTTTATGAAAAACAAAAGGCTTTTATGTAAAGAAATCTAATTTCAGATGATGATGAATGCGGTTTAAACTCATCTTTATGTGGAAATGGCGTATGTATTAATCTTATTGGATCATTTACCTGTAGCTGTTCGTCTGGTTATCGATTCTACAATGAAACATGTGTTGGCAAGTTGTTTTACAAAAAAAAAATTAAATAAATATACTGGATTCTCTATCTTCTGAATATATTGATGAATATATTGAACCAGATTTCATTGGTGCTTTTCTTCGTCGCTGTAGTGATGGTGAGATTTGTATTAATACCGATGGAAGTTATAAATGTGAATGCAATTCTATTTTTAACAACATTGGAACTTGTACTTGTACGTATAGTTGAAAAACTATGTATACAAATCAATCCTATTGTTAAATATTTGCTTTCTTAGACAATCCAAGACTGTGTAATTGTACTACTAATAACAGCTGCATCGATAGTAACAGTACCATCCTAAGTGTAAATAACACTGTCAAAATAAATGACCATTGTATTCGTAAGTAGTTTTGATACAATTGATGATTTAATAGATATAACTGATCAAAATGAATAGCAAATTTGACTTGGTGCGAATCGACATGTAATGAATTATGTGAACCAACGAGTAATTCTTACCAATGTAATTGTTTGAAATATCCAGGTTTTGATTATTCTGATACTATGAAGGGATATCTGCGTAAGATATATGTATTTGATATTTCAAATATTTTATTTTCATAATATTTATTTAATTGAAGCATGTCGTGATCTAAATTATGGTTATGGTTGTAAGCAATCATGTGAATGTGTCCATGGAAAATACAATGGAAATACAACACATGCAAATGAGAGTTGTACTTGTGATCCCAGATATCAACCACCTCTTAGTTTTCAACTTATTGATCAATGTGGTAGGAATATTTCATTTGTCAATCGATCTTTAGGTTATGAAGGAAGTTTTTTCTTGTTCTTATCAGCAATTAATAGTCCATGTAATAATGCAACAGAAGATCGTGCATTAGATCCAAATAATTGTATTACGATTTGTGCTTGTCAACTTGGTGATGAAAGACCCAACACAACTACGATTTGTATAGGTATGAGTAATCAATAAATGAGGTTAAGTTTTAACGATTCAATTCATCTATGTATACAGATATTGCTGAATGTGAAATTAAGATAGATAATTTTAATTCAGAAAGTTCAATTTGTAGTAACATTATTGGAAGTTACAAATGTAATTGTAATAGTGGTTACCAGATCCGAAACAATTTTTTGTTTCGAAAAGTTTAAAAGTTAATATATTTTGTTGTATAGTATATTAATGGTTCATGTATTGATATCGATGAATGTACAAATCTGGCAAGTTGTGCCAATTATAATAACTCATTTTGTACTAACATTGGAGGCTCATATGAATGTCGATGTAGCCTTGATGTTCTAGTAGGAGGTCTATTTATAAAATCGTTCAAATAAATATGTCACATAACATACCCACACCCTCCTCTTTTCTTTACATATATTGAATTCACTACTCACTATAGTTTACCATTCTATTTGAACGGAAGTTTAGCTATTTCTCTTACCACTGTCGTGTATCTCATTCTTTTATCGCTACTACTATGGGGATGTATACATCGATAAATTATACCAAGAAAAATATCTTAATCTTGAATTTGCATCAACTCAAGCGTAGGAATAAACAACACGAAACTAATATGATAATAGTGCATGCGTATCGAGTTAAATTTGATAAACAAAATTAGTTTTATGGTTCAATGAGGACATGTTGTTGTTGATATGAAGATGTGGCATCTGGCTTTTAAAGTATTTTAAATTTAAATTTTCAAAAATTTAAATTCAAAATAAAATTCAATAAACCAAATTTCAATCTACGATACATTTTAACTTTCATGTACAGTAAATTTAAATTTCTTTTACATTTGAATATTTTAAGCTCTATTTCTGAATTTAAGAAATTTTGCTATCTGTATAATTTGATCACCACATAGGTGCACAGGTGTTAAAAAATTCGGACACTATTTATTCAGAAACATTGGAAGAATAAACTGGGGGGAAAAATCAGCAAAAAGGATCTTACATTTAGCTACAAGACATGAACTTTTTCTCAACATGATTTATTTTGTAATTAGAAAACAAATTTACTTTTGTCAATATCACTAACAATTTTAATGCCAAAAAAGTTAATTTTAATGTTTCATGTAGACTTAAACAGGCATTTATTTTGTAATGATGTACATCAATAATTTTTCAAAGATGAAAGAGGTGAGTTTTATTTAATTATATCTTAGAAAGATATTGCGATTTTATAGGATCAAATAATTTATTATATAGGAATTGTAATCGACGCTTTCAATAGTTTATTATAAGTAAAGTTATATTTCACTTTCATCATGCGATCTTTGAATATCTTCCTTCTCATGTTTAGCACTCTCTATTCCTATTTTAATCCAATCAGCAAATGTTCCAATTAATATCCATTCAGATGTAGTTTGAAGGCCTAAATAAATTCGACCTGATCGTATACTCAGCAGATATTGTTCACCATAAGCATCCATACCTTCTCCAATGATCAATAGTTCACATGGAAGAGCATGAAATGTCTCATCCTTGTTCATTTCGTACTTGGTTTTTTTCTTGTTACTTTTGGATTGTTGTTCAGCATTTTTGATCCCATCAATATAAGCAGCTAAATGATCTTGAGCATCATTGCGCAGGTTTTTGTCTACGAGATGATCATTTTTCTTAGCAAGACATTCGAAAAGAAGATCAGCGTAACCTTGACTGTGGTTTTCGTAGGGTCTCCATTTTGCAATTGGCAAAGATCAGTTGTTGCTAGGCGATAATTTAATCCACAAAAAGTGTGATCTTGTCCATCATGTATTTTAATTACATCTCGAATTTCGTCTGGTAAAATAATGCCTAGTTTAGATTCTATATGTTGAATAGTTTTTTCTTCTACACCTGGTCGATCTTTATTTTGAAATTTAGGTGCATACTCTAATACATCGTTAAGTTGATTCCACAGTTTTGCACTTGTCGTAGATTTTGATCGTGTGCGTGAAGTAAAGCTCTCATTGGTTTCACTAGTAGCCATGTTAAACGTATTCGTGTGCACAATTAAAATCTAGAAAAATACATTAATGTGATCGAAGATGAATAGAAAAAAAGAGAGAAAAAAAAGCAAGGACAAAATCTTGATCACATCGAACACCTTTTCAAAAATGAAATGAAAAAGAACGAAATAAATGTGCTTATATAGAATCAAACATACATGCAAGTATTTATAATATGATTAAAGTGTTATTTCAGAATGATTCATTCATAAAAAAAAATCAAGAATCTGAGACTCCCCTATCGATAGTCTTCAACCTCCACTTATAACGTAGGCTAAAATGATACCCACACCTCATAACGGTAAAGTTTTCTCTGAAGACTCCTAAAATAAAACATGCGAATAGAAAAACGCCCATTAAATTAGAAAACTGTTGCAAAAGTATACAATGTTCATTCTATATTTCGATTTTTTTTTGAAACAAAACAAAACTTAGATTGAGTATTGATATGTATTTGTATACGAGAGCTCTGAAAACACTTACGAGATAGTCCTTTTGCAATGCGGAGCTTTAAGTTAAATAAATGCGGAAACCTCGGATTTAAATCCGAGTGTTATGTGTACTTCAAAAAGTGAAGAAGCGATTCCTTAATCCAAAAAAAAAATTATTCAGAATTTTCAAAATCTGAGTTCAGATTCAGATTCCTCGATCCCAATTTTCTTTCGCCAACCTTTATAAAATATCGTTATTTTCTCAAAAAATCCTTTCCTTGGCCCAAAGTTTGAGCTCAAATTCTTAATGGTTCACATACCATTTTGTAGCTCGTGAAATTCTCTATCGAATGGTATATAATAGTTGGGGTTTTATTTTGACTATGATAGGAAAAGTCTTTTATGAAAGTGGGTATAGGTCGATTTTCTCCTAAGAGACCATAGGGAAAAATCAGTATTTTTGCAATAACTCAAGAAGAGCTCATCCAATCAGGCTCATCTTCGAACTCGACCGAGACGTTGATAAGATTGAACTGTGTAGAAAATTTCATCATGATCTGACTCTCCTTTCGAAAGTTATCGTGTAAACGGACGGACGGCCGGACGGCCGGACACACTGACCGATTCTAGTAGTGTACTCACTTTTTGAGTACACTAAAAAGCTTTTCATTTGTTAATTTTTTTTTCACACATTTACAATACCATCAAGATACATTATACAATCTGTAAAGCTTTTTCAAGCATACTCTACCTCTAGGTTCTATTACGTACTGTCGATATCTAAAATAGTGGAAGCAAAAAACAAAGTCGAAATTTTGTTGCCTTATCGAACGTACTGTATTGTTGTGTTTATTTTCATTCATGAAATAATCTTTGACAACACAAGAATAGACAATACGATATTGACAGTTCATTTTGTAATTGAAAGAGTGGCTGTTGAAACAAAACTTATTAATTACCAAAGAATCTTGCTGTCGAACAATGATCGCAAATATTTAGCAAAAATAGTTCGAATCTAACAAACTCATAGAAGACATAATCGTAATCAAAGGAACAGAAAGCACATTCAAAAAAATAGTAGTCATCCGAACAACGAGAAAAGGAATCTTATTTACATAACATCTAGTATGAGTCATAGAACTCGAATTCATAGAAACATTTAGTTTTGACTTGATAGAAATAAAACAGAAAGAAATTAGTTATAAAATTCATCCTTCGATACCTTCTTTTAATCTTTTAATTTATGATGATGTAAACGCAAATAATTTTAAAGAAATCAAAAGAAAACAGTTCAATATCAAAGACAAATACTATTTACAATGAAATACGGATCTTATATTGTTCTTGAGAAACATCATTCTATTTACATATCTTTCTTTTTCTAATCAAATTCAAAAACACAAGACAACTATCTGTGACACTTCTAAAAGCAATGATTATTAGAACCTAGATAACACTCACTTCTGCATAATATTTTATGAAAGAATTCTCAAAATGAATACATTACTCTCCTTCGAAGAAGTGAATAGAAAAAATTTAAACATCGACAACCTCATAATATTATTGAAGATTCTCAAGAATTTACATCAATGCTTAACGTTTCGTTTCTGTTGTATAATTTGGAAATAATTTTATATTAGATGTGAGTGTCATTTTGGTCTTCAACAACTCATTCACACCCAGAACGATTGTGCAATGTTACATAAATAAACAATTCTAACGAAGTTAGGCGAGAAAGACGATAATCTCTAGACATAGAACTATTTGAACAAAGTCTATTATTTCATTTTGGAACCGATATTATTCTACGTTTAAATATAAGTGGATCAGATTTGGAATCAAAAAAAGTAGAAAATCGCATTGGCCATCATGAAATAACAGGTTTTGTCATTGAGAGAGTTTGCAGTCATTTCAAAGACAAATAAGGAGTATTGACGCGAGCAAATGGTGGTGATTGAATGTCACAAGAAAAGTTCAACCAGGTCAAATTAGAACATACGAAAAGAATCTTTTCAGGTGCATTTTCATTTCGCTATCATATCGTAAGTTGATGAAGAGCCTGTTGTGTATCTTCTCAAGAACTCATTATCTCATCTGCAGCATTTGTCTCTTCGATATTGTTGCTATCAGCAATTACCGACTGTATTGAATTGCCTTCCGAGTCTATAGTCATCTGATATCATACTTCTATTTGGTTGTAATAGACAGTGGCCTTCGAATGTACGAGTTTTGATGAATCTAAAACGATTTGCACTAAATATTAAAGATTAGTGTCAGCTGCTGAAAATGTCGTGCTTAGGCTGTCGAACTTTTTTTGTTTCCGATGACATAGTTACCATGAGAGACGACGAGAGTGTGAGGTATGAAAATAGATGAGCTATATGGGATGTCTGTCCAGCCGTCGCATCTACATCCTCGCACTCAATCTTTTGTCTGTTTCGAACTATGTGGATAGATGCGAGTATGTTAGTCTTACTTAATATTTTTCGTCAAGAGACATTACCGATACTGTTCTTTAAATTTCACATCTAGCAACAGCTTTCCTTACTAAGTAATTTTTGTTTTCTTTTTTTCCTAATTCCAATAACAAAAAGATAAATAGCACTCATATATCTTAAATAAATTGCATTAACAAGTCAGATGTTTTTTAGGACAAACTACAACCACTGTTCTATTACTATAACCCAGAAAGCAGAGTGAAGACTTTTTAAAAGATTAAGTTGAGAGCATACATGAAAAATCGTTTAACTATTTTCAATCATTGGGCAAGAAAAAAAAGAACGGTCAGAATTTTCCTTTGTCACTCAAAAGAAAGCAGGAAAAGATTTCGAGTAAACGTGCTGAGAAACAATTGCATAGAAAAATGAAGATGAAGAGCCAGAGAATGATTAAAAAAAGGAGAGAACATCACTGAAAAACAGATGATCTCGAGTAAGAAAAAGTGACTTGGGAAAGAAAAAAACACAGTGTAATTAGTTCTAGCTGTTTGAATTATTCCTCTCTTTCGTTTTCACATGTTGACACACATTTTGCAAAACATCGAACATTGAAACATTTCAATTTTCATTTCCTTTCCATTCGAAAATCAAAAAAGAAAATGAAAGTACTAATCCTAGCATTCACACACAATTTTTTTTCTTTATGCGAATGAATTTCTATTATTCTGAATTGTTTTAATTTAAAACTACGATGTCATTTATTTAATGTGTGTACGTAAGTATGAGTTTTAAAAATAAGAACAAATATGAAGAAATTCATGAATTTTTATTGAAAATTTCGTTACAAAAAACAACATAACAATGATTTAGTTAGATTATGAACATGATCTTTATTACGTTATTCGAAACAAATGTATTGAAAAAGTATCATATTCATTTTATCTTTTATCCAGTCGACTTTGAGATATGCTATATCAGGACAAAGTGTCCTGAGAAACTAAATCACTTCAGTTTGATCCAGCTTCTCGAGATAGACTTTAATGATTTTACTTTTAGGTTTTGTTGAGACAAAAATTCTATAATCTTCATGATTCATATCTTCTGAATCAGCGAATGATAGAGAATGAATTTAAGATTGGAATTAATATACCAACAAGAATCTCTTCGATAGAAATGGTCAGATGATAAATTTGTGTTATGGATAAAATACGTTTAATATACACATTAATAATGTCTCGCCATTCATTTGGATGCGTATGCAGAAAAGTCACTGGAGTTTATTTAGAAAGATCTGAAGAAAAATTGCTCATCTCATCTTGAATAAATTCGTCTCATCGTTTTCTATGAAGAATAAAATAATTTATTTTCTTATTAAAAAAAAGTCTTTTTCAAACACTTGTATGGTTGAACTGAGTACATGCACGATAAAGTCGAGTTTCTGAACCTTTTCCACAATTTGCGTAATATTGTAGATAAAATTCTTCTAATTGAAATAAATGCTTTAAAATAATTTCCTGCCATCGATTAGTATCAAGATAAGTAATATCTTTATGTTGAGTAATAAAAAATAAAACTTTTAATTTCGAATCAATTTTTCTAAGAAACATTTCAAATCTATCAAACTTTGTACTAG